TTGCTGTTAAATGTAATGAATGCCTCTGTTTTGAGGGTAAATGCAGCAGCCGTTTTGCACACAGCAAGTGCCCACAAACAGCCATTAGGTGCTTTAGTAATTAATCTGGGGAGCTGCTGGCCAGGAAGCTGTGGAAAAACACTCTTTCAATGTTATTATTATTATCACAGAATCTTTACCATCCACCACAAGAACAAGCTGTTCAGGCACAGCCTGAGCCGTCCGTCAGAAATCTAACAGAATATTGCTGAACAGGGAATTGTTTATTATAATAACAATAATCCTTGCATTTGATATAGCACCTTATCACCTCTTCGAGATGGCTCAAAGCACTTCACAGAATAGAACGTAAAACGAATTGAGTGTACATTTTGTGGGCGAAATGCAGCAGGCAATTGCGCACAGCAGCGTCCCACAAACAGTCATAGACTGAGTGACCAAATTAGTATTTTGTAAAAAAGGAATTATTACCCCAAGAAAGCATTCCACCAATAGACTAACAACCAGGTTCCTACTTACTGCAAGGAAAATGAGGCGTGTGGAGTAAGGAAACTTGTCTAAGGTTTCGCCCTGCCTAGTCTTTTCACTTGCAAGGCAAGTGCTCTAATCAATACGCTACAGGACTCCACTAACTTCTTTCAAATAAGCTCTCTTCCCATTCCTCACCAATTCAGAATGGGGGGGGGGGGGGTGGTGAGGGGATCTCACCTGTAACTGAATCTGAACACCCAGTGAATGCAGTCACTGACATTTTGGTATAGACAGAACCTCCAGCTTCCTCACCTTTTCATGGATTACCACAGGCCGTGAGCTCACCCATTCCAAACCTCACTCACTCTTACAATTTGGTTTGATTAAAGTAACCCTGGAATGTGCTAATCAGATGCCTCCTCGTGCCTCGCACTCTTTCAACTCAGTAAGTAGTGCCGGCTGGTCAGGGCTGTGCAAGCGAGCCCCAGCTCGTATGGATTACATTTCCTAAGCTGACAACTTGTGCTGTTTGTCCGGATAATAGATCTCTAACTAAATACAATACAAAATGAAATTTACACAGCCCCTTTCATGTCAGGAGGATGTCCCAAGGCGCTGGACAGTCAGGGATTTGGACCCGAGTTGGTTGTTGGGATTACGAGGGGTGTAGGGTAAGAGATGGAGGGTTGCCGAAGGCAAAGGTAGAAGAAGAGGATCTTGACATGGATCTTGAAGCAGGCAAGTCAGGGGGCGATACAAAGGGACTGTGGGATGGAGTTCCAAAGGGTGGGGTCGGAGAGGCTGAAGGCCCGACTGCTGAGGGTGGAGTGAGCCATGCGTGGGACGTGGAGCCTGCCGAGCAGAGGGAACAGACAGGTTGATAAACAGAGAGAGACATGCACATAATCTACAGCACCAACTTTGAACCTCCTGATAGAGTCATGGAGTTTGGTGCGAGAGAGGACATGAGCGGCAGAGTTCTGGATGATCTGCAGCCTGTGGAGGGAAGAGTTGGGAAGGCCGACAAGCAGGGAGTTGGTAATAGTTGAGCTAAAGCCAGACTGTAGCATTGGTTTCTTGTTATGTGACAATAGGGGCAGATGATGTGTGTGTGTGCATAGGAGTTCGTTCATCAGGCTCTGGCCTGCTCCATGTCTCCCACCCGACCCACCCTAACATTGATGGCCTCTCTGCCCTCACACTCTGGAACTCCATCCCACTAGTCCCTTTGTCTCGCTTCCTCCCTTGCCTCGTTCAAGGCCGGTCTCAAGACCCTTCTTTTTGGCCGTGACTTTGGTCTCCCTCCCACCTCTTTGCCTTCCCTCCCCCCTACATTATCCCTCCCCCATGCTCGGGCCCCGACATCTGACTGATCAGCGCCTTGGGATGTCCGCCCGACGTGAAAGGCGCTCTATTAGTGTAATTTTGTTGTTGTTGTTGTTGATGGTTTACAAAGGGATTCACGAACAGCAATTAGGAGTCACTAACAGGGAGCTCACTCGTCACACAATCGTCGCTACATTTTAAAAAACAATTCTCTGTGAAGCACTTTGACTTCATAGATGTTATATAAAAGGCATTGGTAGAAGAGGATTATAATTGCATTTGATATGGAGCCTTTCATATCAGGAGGATGTCTCAAAGTTCTTTGCAAGGTTTACTGTAAAGTTTAGTAATTGTATTTTGTTGGTGAATATTATTATTACACACCTGACTTGTGTAGTGACTATTTTTGTAGGCAATTGCAAAAGCCATTTGCACTCTATAATAATAATAATAATCCTTGCATTTGATATAGCGCTTTTCACGTCAGGAGGACGTCCCAAAGCGCTTCACAGAACACACTGTAAAGTGAATTGACTGTATATTTGTGGGCGAACGCGGCAGCCAATTGCGCACAGCAATGTCCCACAAACAGTCATGGATTGAAACTGACCAATTAATTATTGTTTTTGGTTTTGGAGGGATTATTATTAGGCTCTGTGTGGAGTAAGCAAACTTGCCCAAGGTTTCGCCCTCTGCCTGGAATTGAACTCAGGTCTCTCGCTTGCAAAGCGAGTGCTCAACCACTGAGCTACAGGACTCTGTTAGGTGACACAAACAGCCACGCAGGTAACCACTTTTATCCAAATGATCCAAACTCCATTCTATTTTGGTGTCCTGTATTGGTTAGAGCACTTGCCTCGCAAGCGAGAGGATCCTCCAAAAGATGGATTGCAGTGTTATTTTTGAACTCCGGATTCCTCAATAAGAAAAGGCACTTTGTAATCTCCAAAAAATTATTGGACATTTTGGATGAATTGAGTTTTGAAGCCCTTCATTGTTCCCAGGATTATCTTTCTAATTAATAAGCAAATGAAATTCTTAAGGGTAATCACATCCCCCTAAGCCTGTGCGTTACTCAGTCTTGTAGCAAGCCTACATAATATGTAATAATAATTCTTGCATTTGATATAGCGCCCTGTCATGTCGTCGAGACGTGACAAAGTACATCACAGAATATACTTTAAAGCGAATTGTGGGCAAAACCCGGCAGCCAATTGCGCACAGCAGTGTTCCACAAACAGTCGTGGATTGAGTGACCAAATCAGTATTTTGTTAAAAGGAATTATTATCCCCAGAAAGCGTTCACCAATGGACTTAAAACCGGTTCCTACTTACTCCTAGGTAAACAGAAAGAAAAAAAAACTTGCCTAGGGTTTGGCCTTGCCCAGGGATCGAACCCGCGTCTTCTTGCTTGCGAGGCTGACACACTAACCACTATGCTACAGGACTACCAAAAATTCTGTGAAGCACTTTGTGATGCCTCAATGACGTGATAAGATGCTATACCAAATGCAAGGATTATTATTACAGAGTTTCCAGCTCATCAGTATGAATAACGCCTGCCTGTAAACACCTCAACACTATACAGTAATAATCCTTGCATTTGACACAGTACCTCACAGGTAACTAACTGCTGTCAGGTGTAGTGACTGGGTATTTTTAGGCAAATGTGGCAGCTATTTTGCACACAGCAAACTTCCACAAATGGTCATGAGGTGAATGACCGATTAATCATAGAATCTTACAGCATAGAAGGAGGCCATTCAGCCCCTTGTGCATGTGACAGCTCTTTGAAAGAGCCACCAACTAGTCCCACTCCCCGCGTTTACCCCATAGCCCTGCACCTTTTTTCCATTTTAAATACCTATCCAATTCCCTTTTGAAAGCTACTATCGAATCTGCTTCCACCAGCCTTTCAGGCAGTGCATTCCAGTAATCTGAAGGATTGTTGGCCAGGACACAACAACAAAATTACATTTGTATAGCGCTTTTAACGTCAGGAGGACGTCCCAACGCGCTGGACAGTCAGTGTTTCCGACCCGAGCTGGGGGTCGGAATTGGGAGGGTGGAGGGCAGGGAGGGAAGCAGGGTCAAACACCCTTTTCTTTTCCAATAGTGTCACCTGAAGAACCAGAAGTCAAGACCTTGGTTTAGGGTTCTGAAGGATGCAAGTCGGCACTCTTCCATTACTGCACTAGAGAGTCAGTCTAGGCTGTGAGCTCCAGTTGCAACCATTGAAATGTACAGCTCAGAAGCCAGCCATTCAGCCCATCGTTTCTGAACTGGCTCTCTATATAGCAATCCCTTCACTCGTATTTACTTGCCCTTTCCTCATCACCCCCGTAACGTATTCATTTTTGGCTATTTATTGAGCTCCACTTTTGAAAGCTAATATAGATTCAGCCTCCACCACCACTCCCGCCAAGGCATTACCTGTCCTAGCCACTCTGTGTGTGTGAAAAAATTCTCCTAACCTCCCCATTTGCTAACTAATTACTGAACCCACAACCGTCTTCTCAGTGAGCTAAACTATGCTGTCTGGCAAACTTTCCCGCTGCTTGTCCAGCGAGGACCCCCCTCCCCGTTAGTTAGGGCTTTGGCTGCAGGGTTAACAGAAGCTGAGGGGGAGGATTCCCGGCCCCCAGTGACTGGTCGGCCCTTCCAGGTCCTGCTGATGAGCCGGGCCGGGCTGTGCTGTCATCAGCAGTGAGTGCCCCGGGACACTGCGGCCCCTCCTGGTCAGGACCCGGACTAGAGACCGGCACAGAGTGGGGGCTGGATTCTGACATTCCATTGCCAAACAGGACACCTCCAATCCCCCACCCCCTCCCCCAGCGGTTAACCAAACTAACACCAAAGCATCAACTACGCAATGATGTTCAATCTGCTCAAGGCTAATATTGCACTGTATGTAGTTGGTAAAGTCATAGACATATCACCTCATTCCCTCAAAATCGGCAGGAGAGCTACTCAGGCTGTTTGAGGTTAAATGGGCCAAAGGGCTTTCTTCATAAAAAAACAATAATAATAAAATTGGTCACTTCAATCCAAGTCTGTTTGTGGGACACTGCTGTGTGCAATTGGCTGCGTGAGAGGCGCTGTGTAAATGCAAGTTGTTGGTGTTGTTCTCCGTCCCTCCCTCAAATTCAAGGCTTGAGTTCCCAAATGCCCTTTTGTTTACAGTGAACAAGTGGAGTACTTACACTTTGGCTTATCGGAGAGACGATACTGTGAATATCTGATGAAACCTGCGAGTTCATAGCTTTGACTCAGACGGTACGATAACAAGCCTTTATCGGAGAAATTCGATTTTTAACCCTTTTCTCGCTCACTCAGATTCAGGGAATGGCCTTGGGACAGCATAACCTGCAAACAAGATTGGAGAACTGAGATGATCAGGAAAAACACCAACATTGAGAGCTCCCTAATACACATCGCGCGCAAAAATAACACAGCTTTCACCCTGAGACGGTAACCTTGACTGCTACCAAGAGAACAAGAGAAATAACATTTTTTATAGCATCTTATCACGTCAAAGTTCTTACAGTAGTTTACAGTTAAGTTTAATAACAGCACGATCCCTCATATAGCCTTGGGGTGAATGACCAATTCATCCCGAGATTTGTTGGCCAGGATACAGGGAGAAACTTCCTTATCTTTTTGAAGAGTTGTGTGATAATAATAATAATACTTGCATTTGATGTAGTGCCTTATCACATTTTGAGGCGTCTCAAAACGCTTCACAGAATATACTGTAAAGTGAATTGACTGTATACTTTGTGGATGAAACGCAACTGCCAATTGCGCACAGTAGCGTCCCACAAACAGTCATGGATTGAGTGACCAAATTATCTGTTTATTTATTTTGAAGGGATTATTACCCCTGCAAAACAATCGCCAATCGACTAACAACTGCTAGGTAAACAGAGGCGTGTGGAAGAAGGAAAATACGGTTAAGCTTTGGAACTCTATCCCCCAATCCCTCAGCCTTGCCACCTCCTACCCCTCTTTTAACTTACGGTCATCTCCTCCCACCCACACTCCATTCTCTCTCTATACTGTCACAGGAACACCCAGCAACATTCCCAGCACTCATAAAGCCCAGGAAATGGGAGTCCAGCGCAACACAATTGCTGGGTTTAACCTCCTCTATTCCCACTGTTGTGACTGGTTGGTGCTCAGGTGTTATCAATTTAACCATATGGTATCAATGCTGTGCAGACTCATATCATAGCAGTAATATACTGAATAGTGTGTCCCCCTTTACACCCAGCAGAGAGATGAAGAGAGTGAATGAATGCGTGTAAGAGACAGTCACCAACATAGGACCCTAAGAGGATATGGTTCAAAATCCTTGTCCTCATCTTCAAGACCCTTCACAGTCTTGCTCCTTCCTACCTCTGTGACCTGCTAACCTCTTATCAACCTAACCCCTCCCTCCGCTCAGCAGGCTCTGGCCTACTCCACTTCCCCCACCCGGACCTCCCCACCATCGACGGTTGAGCCTTAAGCCTCTCTGCCCCTACCCTTTGGAACTCCATCCCACATTCCCTTTGCCTCGCTCCCTCCTCCTTCAAGACACGTCTCAAGACCCTCCTCTTTGATCGTGGCTTCGGCCACCCTCCTACCCCTACCCTCCAGCCCTCCTGATCCCAAGCATCACCTCAGGTCCAAATCCCTGACTGTCCAGCACCTCGTGAAAGGCGCTATACAAATGTAATTTTGTATTGTATAGGCTATGCTTATACTCAGGTCTTCACAAAAGAAGTGGATGCACCAAATGCCGCAGTAGCGGAGGAGAGTGCAGAGGAAATGGATAGGATAAGTATAAACAGAGAGGAAGTACTGAAAAGTTTGACTGGGCTGAAGGTAGATAAGTGGCCTGGTCCGGATGGGATGCAGCCAACGTTACTATGGGAGGTACGGGTACAAATAGCAGGGGCTTTGGCTACAGTTTTTCAATCTTCGTTGGACACAGGAGTGATGCCCGAGGATTAGAGAGTGGCCAATGTGACTCTCCTGTACAAAAAGGGACAGAAGGACAAACCTGAGAACTCCAGGCCAGTCAGCCTGACATCAGTAGTGGGGAAACTCCTGGAGACTATAATCCGGGACAGAATAAATCTTCACTTAGAAGAATATAGGTTAATTAGGGACAGCCTATATAAAACACTGGTTAGGCCTCAGTTAGAATACTGCCCCAGTTCTGGGCACCGCACTATAGGAAGGATGTTAAGGCATTGGAAAAGGTGCAGAGGAGATTTACGAGGATGGTACCAGGAATGAGGGACTTTGATGATGAGGAAAGGCTGGAGAGGTTAGGATTATTCTCATTGGAGCAGAGAAGGTTACGAGGACCTGATAAGAGCTTTGCAAAATCATGAGGGGATTTGATAGGTTAGAAAGGGAAAAACTGTTCGCACTGGTGGGTGTGTCGGTGACTCGAGGTCATAGATTCAAAATAGTCTCTAAAAGAAGCCGAGGGGAGGGGAGAAGAATTTTTTTCACGCAGCGAATTGTTCAAATCTGGAACGCATTCCCTGAAAGCGCGGTCCAGGACGATTCGATAACTACTTTTAAAAACGCGGTGGACGGGTATTTGAGGAGGACAGGTTTGCAGGTTATGGGGAAAGGACTGGGGAGTGGGATTGACATTACATTGCTCTATTCAAAGAGCCGCACAGCCTCGATGGGCCGAATGGCCTCTTTTTGTGCTGTACGATTCTATGATTCTATGATTAAGAGGTGAAACCGTATTTCTTGTACCAAGCAATATATAGGCTTGCAGTTTGTTACATAATAAATCCTACATTTCATATACATACATGAGCAAACACACATACATGTACATAGTCACACACAGATGTATGCAGATGTATGCATACACAGTCATGGACATACAGTTCCTTTAACTCAGACACCCACACTCATGTGTCCACAGACACACATACACACGCATCATTTATAAAATGCCCTTCATGAAGGATAAGGTCTCGGAGTCACATACACATGTATAAATTGACAGCAATATGTATGCGCTCCTGCAGTTTGCTGGAAGGAAATCTGAACCAGTCACATTCCTGGGTGGTTTGAGGGAGGGGAGTGAGGGGAGGAAGAATGAGAAGAGGAAGTAAATCTAGATATTCATTTGAGGCCTACTCACAAACAAAGCCTCCTTCCACGTCCAGAGAGCGCTTAATGTATACAGAAGCCTGCTGGGTGTCTGACTAAAGTTACAGCTCAATGAAGTGCTCTGGCGTCTCAAGTTAAGGTCAGATGCTTATTGTGGAGAATACTCAGCGATACTGAACGTTGCCCCACTGTTTTGTCTTCAAGGCTACTCCCCAGCACTGACTCCTCGTGTTGTTGTGGAGGGAAGCAGACAGCCCAAGGTTAATGTATTTTCATCTCCTCCAGACTCTGAAGAAAGCGCTGTGCTAGCTCCGCACCCTGGTGACCTTCTTCCAGCATTAGTGCTGACATACACTCTTGAACACTAATCGGAGGTACTAAGATTACAGGAGTCCTGTAGCTCAGTGGTTAGAGCATCCATCTCACAAGCAAGAGGACCTGGGTTCAATTCCCGGGCAGGGAAAAACCGTAAGCAAGTTTCCTTACTCCACACGTCTCAGTTTTCCTAGCAGTAAGTAGGAACCTGGGTGTTAGTCGATTGGCGTATCGATTTCCAGGGGGTATCGCTTCAAAATAAATAAATAGGTCCTTCAATCCATGACTGTTTGTGGGACACTGCTGTATGCAATTGCCTGCCGCGTTTTGCCCACAAAATATATAATCAATTTAATTTACAGAATATTCTGTGAAGCGCTTTGAGACATCTCAACAACGTGATTAGATGGTGTATCAAATGCAAGGATTTTTATTATATTCTAGGGCAGTGGAGAGCTATGAACAGCCCTTGAGGTAGAGACCTAGGAACAGCATCCAGGGGTCCTGCTCTCAGTGGAGGTGGATGTCACATTAGGACAGCATTAGACTCACCTCTCAAAACCCTCATCTACAGAGAGGACAGATTGATTGACTCATAAGACCACAAGATTGGCTCAGATGACTAAAAAGCCCTTTGGCCTATATGACCCAGAATATCCAGTTACCAGAAGCTGGGGTTGAAGCAAAACGTAGCAATGTACTGTATTTAAGAGGAAACATGATGCATACATGAGGGAAAGGGGAATGGAAGGGTATGGGAGTGGGGACTATGGCTCATGTAAAGTTATAATAATCCTTGCATTTGATATAGCGCCTTATCATGTCATTGAGACACCTCAATGCACTTCACAGAATATACTTTACTGTTTTCTTACTCCATTCGCCTCTATTTACCAGCGATAAGTAGGAATCCGTTTGTTAGTCGATTGGCAGATTACTTTTAGGGGGTAATAATCCCTTCAAAATAAATAATAATAATTTGGTCACTCAATCCACAACTGTTTGTGGACACTGCTGTGCGCAATTGGCTGCCGCATTTCCCCCACAAAATACAGTCAATCCACTTTACATTGTATCCTGTGAAGCGTTTTGAGCCGTCTTGAAAACTTACTAAGACGCTACGTCAAATTCAATGATTATTATTAATCCCATTAAAAATCTAAATTAAAAATATAGAGCCCTAGTTTGTCTAATTGTTACTCATAACTCATTCCTCTAAAACTGGGCATCAAGTTATTGCTCTCCTGTGCGTGGGGCAGCCTGTGTTGTTGCAAGCAGAACTGTACACAGAACTCCAGGTGTGGGCTGACCAGAACACTACACATATAGAGTACGGCTCCTCAGAATCTAAACTCAACTAATTTGGAAATGCAGCCCAGCAACCTGTTTACCTTGTGTACTGCTGCCTCACACAAGAAGAAATGGTTAGCTGGGTGAGGCACACATTGCGGCAAGTAAGCATGATAATGATAACAATAATCCTTGCATTTGATATAGCGCCTTATTATGTCTTCGAGACTTGACTGGGCTTGATTCACAACTAGGTACCAGACTTGAAAGGACAATGGCTTCAATGCAGTCACAGTGATTTGATTTAATTATAATAATGATGATAATCCTTGCATTTGATATAGCACCTTATCACGTCATTGAGACATCTCAAAGCACTTCACAGGATACACTGTAAAGTGTATTGACTGTAAATTTTGTGGGCGAAACTCGGCAGCCAATTGCGCACAACAGTGTCCCACAAACAGTCCTAAACCTCACCCCCCGCTGAGCAGCCACCGATGGTGGCCACACTAACCAGGTGTACAACAAAACCCGGCCTCTACAGTGAAATACCTTCTAATTTTCAGGTTTTACATTTTCTTTGAAATATGAAATGAGCCGACAACAAATTCATAGTGACCAAAATT